AGTAGCACCTTGAATAATGTTTGCTGAAAATCAATGTTTAGTACTAAATGCTATGTTCATAAATAATTTGTAACCCTGGAAGAAGTTCAGCTTTTGGCTTATTGTCTGATTTTTATTCATATTTGTTTTCTACAGCATAACGTAGCTGAGCAATATTTAAGGTCCCATGGGAGCTGCTGCAGGAAGAAATAACCTAGGTATACTCTTTCCATAGCTTCTGATCTAAACTCTGAAACTTGAGGGAACATGAAACAATATATTCAGCAAAATATCTGGGAATGTATATTTCTGGGTGTTTTGGTAGAAAATGGAGAACTTTAAATAATAAAAATAACTGCAAATAAGAAGGCTGTAAGAAAGAAAGAAAGATTGTTAGTATTAAGTGAGGTGTTTTATTTTATTAAGAAAAAAAGTTCCTATGCTGAATTATATTTTTATCCTGGTATTTCACAAACTGAGTATTCACAAAGGAATGTATTAGCAGCTCTACACAAAGTTTAATTCACCTATACCATCTTGAAGTTTATCTAAATTAAATATGTGGTGGGGTATATACAAGAATTAAAGTTCACAAAAGGAAAAAAAGACTTTCAAAATTCTAGAACACTTCATGCATTGATTTAGATGAATGTCAGTAAGGAGAAATTATCACAGGTCTCCCAATGGTAGCTTTTCTAAAGGGCACTGTTTGCTTTCTTCTTCTTCTCTCTTTTTAGGGCCCAGATCCTGCAAGTTTCTGAGTGCTTCCAGGGACTGTGAATTAACTTTACTGGGAACTGAGATCATTCAACACCAGTTAGAAGATCCACTGGCAGGAAACTAGCTTGTGTTATGGGGAGGGTAAAGTGACCATATGACTTCATTTTACTAAGACAGTCCCAGTTTTTCATGTGGCTGCCTTCTTAGTGTCCCAGGTCCACTTGATTATGTTTTCATTTAATCAAAACATTTTTAGAACTACAAAATGTTTGTTAGAAGAATATTGTTATATATCAAGCAGAATTTACTCTGAGTTTAGCAGAAACAAACAGTCCGGTCAAATGAGTGTTCAGTGTGATTAATAGTATTTGGAGTGAAGAGTTCAATGAGGCATATTGGCTGACAACAGCGATCAACCGGGAGACCTCTAAAGCTGAAATTCTGAGTCCCTACAGCTTGACACAAAGAGCCAGACTTTCTCACCAAGATCACTAACAGACTCACATGGACACAGATTGGGGGGTACAACATAAACTGACAATGGGTTACACAATCAAATATATTCTTTTGAATGATAATGACAAATATTGAGTGTTCCATGATAAATGTATTCAGACCAGTAAATTACTGGAAATTATCAGTCACACCAAGAAATGGCAGTGTTGCTATTGTATCACACGTGGGAAATAGCAACACCAGCATATGTTTTTGCAAAGGGCACTTTGTGGGTTTTGTATCAGTATTTTGTGACTCTAAAACAGTCATCACAAATTGGATTTTTTTTTTCAAAAATATTGTCAAGCTTAATGAAAGGGCCACTAGATCATCAGAAACATGATGCACATGCTTCATGATTATGGTCAGAGACCAGTCTTTTGAAAAAAGCCTCCAACTTACAAAATGAAGTCTAAGCAGCACAATTAGAGTTTGATTCTGATAACACTTACACTAGCTTTACAAGAAAAAAATCCATTCAGCTTGATTTTTCACTCATCTATATTGAGGCAAGTTAGAAGTAACTCCACTGAAATCAGTAGAGTATAAAACCAATGCAAATAGATAATTGGGTCAAAAAAATGGAGAAAATGCTCCTGTTATGTATTTGACAAACTGTAATGAACAAAAATAGAGATGTAGCTGTGTTAGTTTGGTCTAGCTGAAACAAAAGACAGGATTTTGCAGCACTTTAAAGACTAACACGATGGTTTAATAGGTGATGAGCTTTCATGGGTCTGGCCCACAAAAGCTCATCACCTAATAAACCATCCTGTTAGTCTTTAAAGTGCTGCATAGTCCTGTCTTTTGTAATGAACAAAGATATAGATAAGGGCTCAGGATAAAATGTTTTTTTAAAGTGCAGGCCTCAGTACATCTGGTAAAAAAGCAAATATAAGATGCTCACACCTCAAGTTCTGCACCATGCAAAGGATAAGTTAATGGAAGAAAGATCTTTCTTTCCTGACATACTGAACATCATCCAAACAAAGAGAAGCAAATAATATTTTCCTAATGTAGATATCTCAGGGTAATGTGAAGAGACCACTATATTTTGCACACCAAATTGAAGCTCACCTGTTTCAACAATCTGTGCCACTGTGTCAGCTTTTTCACTGGCATAGAAAATATAATTGGATGGTGTAAGAGATCAAGAATGCTGTTTTTCAGTTGTAAATCCTATATTGTCCTCTCTCGGAGTTGTCCAAGTATTTGGAGAAAATTTATTTTCAGTGGAGTTTCCTTCCTGTTTTGAGATCCTAATCACATGAACCAAGGGATTAACAGGTTATTTCTTCTCTTTCATTATGTTATCTTTAATGAGTAGATTCAATTAATTAAAAAATAATGATTAAAGCTAACAACAAGCAACCAGTCACTATCTAATCATCATCTTCTCCCCCTTTGGAAATGGGAGAGAAGGCTGCATAGTTTTGTATTAAGTTGCAAAGCAGAATGATAGTCAAAATAACTCATGTAAATCTTTATGTATTATGTGCTACAGTACTGTGCCTTTGTTTCCATACAGAGAAAAAACCCGACTCTGATATAAATAATTCAATAAACCCGTTAAGTGGTGCTATCACTATCTCTATTTTTCAGGCTCTTCTTATTACTGATTGTAGAAAAAAATCAATTAAAAAGAAAGTATTAAAATAGGTGCACTCTAATTCTTTTTCCCCCTCTCCAAATGTTATCAATTTAAAATACTGCAGGCTACAAAGGCCTTATGCCGACATTCATCAGTCTGTGGTGTCCCATGGCACATAACCTCTCTGTCAAGTATCAGAATTACCAGTCACAAACACTTACATGATGTTAAGTCATTTCAAAAGGATCTATTTTTCATATTTTACATATGATTTACTCACTAATACTCTAGTCAGAAGGAATTTTAGTTAAGTCATCACTGTGACAGTTCGCCCCCCCTCCCCCACACACACACTTTATGAAAATTGGCTTATGAATATAAATATAAATAAGTCATAGATGCTTTGGACAAAATGCCTCATGTAACCTATCAATTTTAATGTTACAGTCTGCTGGATCTGTGTATCTTATTTTGGTGCATGTATCATTTGAGTATGTGAAGTTAGAAATATGAATCGTGAATCTGCTTATAGTTTCAAATGTACTAACGAGAGCCATTACTGGTGCCCTGGAAGCCTAATGACTGGGGGTATGTCTACACTACCCCGCTAGTTCGAACTAGCGGGGTAGTGTAGACATACCCATACAGATTAACTTCAAACTTAAACCACAAAGGATTAGGAAAACAGCCAGTCCACTTCTCACTGAGGAGAGCAGAACAAAATGTCTGGAGTTGCTATGCAACACCATTTTCCAGATGCGGCAAAAAACATGGAGTTTTTTTTTTAAAGATCCTTGACCTCTCTGCCAGGGCTGGCTCTAGATTTTTTGCTGCCCCAAGCAAAAAAATGTTTGGCCGCCCCCTCCCCCTTTTTTGTTAGCTTTTACACGTTTGCACTTTGCAATGTTTTGTTTTGTTATTTGACTGTTAAAAATTCCTCTTGCCCTCATTACCCTACCTTGCTCGAACTAACAAGCTAGTGTAGACGTACCCTTAGAGACTAACCAAAAAAATATACATAGGTAGTATCTATATATTTTCTGGTTAGTCTTAAGGTGCTATAGGACCATTGTTGTTTACATTTGTTGGTGATGGTAGTAGTGGTCAGGAGAGACATTTGGCCATACCACCTGGTGCTTGAATCCATTTTGAACCTGGTATTTTTTCATGGAGGGGAGAGGGGGCAGAGATGTAAAACAAGGGGTTCCTGCCCTGGGGTAAAAGTTATTTAAGCAATAGGAAATCATCCACTTTTGTCTTCAGTTGGCCTGGGAAACTGCCTGGTACACCCTAGGATACAAAGAACTTGAAAAAGGGCTAGAGACCTAAGTCAGGCACAAGAGTTTGTCTCTGACTTGAAAATTATGTGTGAAATAAAAACAGCTCTTTAAGGTTAGAAGCTGAATGCAATACATTTTCTATATATATTTTGAAATAAGTCAAATTTACTAAATTCCCATGTTAACACAATTGAACTAGTGTGTGAAGTCTTGAAATTAGTCCAAGGTTGTCTCCATTAATGTGGACATGCTACTTTGGACTTATAGCCCCAAGAAGCACTGAGGAGTAATTAGTTCAAATTACTCTATTTTGGAATTAACATTATTTCTGATGAAAAGCAGGAGTACAGATTTTATATTAAGAGACCCATTACTTCGAAATAACAGGCTTGGTAGTGTTGGATGCTCCACATATAAATTTGACCTTATGGGGCTTATTTTGAAATAAAGTCCTAGCATTGAACAGGGTTTAGTGAATTAGAACTAGCTATGCATTTTCTTTTCATTTTAATTTTGTAACTTACTTTGATCCGCCTGTTTCCTTTTGCAACCACTTAAATCCTACTCTCTGTACTTAACAAAAACACTTTTGTTTACTATCCAGCCCATAGTAAATAATTGCTACCTGAGGAGAGCAATCACTATTCATATAAGTGGAGCTTAACTCGAAGTAAGCTATGAAAATTGGGTTACGTCAATTGAATAGCTTATTTTGAAATTGGGAGTGTCTACACAGCACTTATTTAGAAATAGAGCACTCTTTCTCCGACTTCCCTTACTTCTCATACAATGAAGGTTATAGGAGTTGGAGTAAGAAGTCCTTCAGCTTGAGAGTATTTTGACATTATTTCGAAGTAACTGCCTACTGTGTAAACGTGGACTAAATTATTTCGAAATAAAGCTAGTTATTTCAAAATAATGTTGCTGTGTAGACATACCAATACCTTTCACTAATAAAGGAAGCTTATCTGATAAGCTTTCCTTGTATAAAACTTTAACACAGAGAAATACAGATTTATTTGTAGGGTTTTTGTCTCATTTAGGGATTGGTTTCCTGGGTGTTGAGCTTTAGAACTGCATCTACCCAGAGCTGAAGTAGTTCAATTTCTGCATTGCTCTGCAGGGGTGTGGTAACCCCAATTCTATGCCTTGTCTAAGGGAAACCAGAATATCTGGACCAGCAGGACAGAGTGCTAGGGAACTCCACATGACAGTGAAATGATCGGCACACTGGGGAACAATCCCAAGGGGACTTCTGTGACTGCACCCTATCACAATCACCATTAACTGTCTTGGCTATTCATTCTGGGGGATAGAGTTAGAGACTTAGGGATAGATCTACATAGGGATTTAGGTGCCTAAAGTGGCAGTCTGGACACCTACGTCCAAATTTCAGATCCCCCAAATCACCACTCAGCAGTCAAAAATCCCAGCAGATACCTACATTCTCCTTGTGCCTGTATTAGTGCCAGTGAAATCCCGATGTTTCTACCAGCTGGTGTGCACATAACCCCCAAACTACTTGGTGCCCTCTCTCCAGCAGAATATTCAAATTAGGCATCACTCTGCCTCTCTCACCAACAGGACCCATGCAAAACTCAGCTGGGGACAAAGTGGTATTCCAAACCTAGAGTCCAGCTGTAAGAACATTCACTCAAGAGGCAGGAGATCCAGGTTCAAATGCCCACTCAGGCTGAGTCAAAGCAGGGTCAAGAACCCCACTTCTCCCATGAGGGCCCTAATCACTGGGCTACAGGCTATGCTGGAGTAGGTGCTCTCTGTCTCTCCTGTGAACACTGTTACACATTGTATAAAATATTTACATAGTCAAAGAGAGAGGAAGCAAGAGAATGACTATCTAGCTAAGTAGTTAAGTCAAGCTCCAATGACTTTTACCTCTTTCAGGGTATGTCTACACTGCTATCCTAGTTCGAACTAGGGTGGCTAATGTAGGCATTTGAACTTGCAAATGAAGCCCGGGATTTAAATACCTGGGCTTTATTTGCATGTTCCTGGGCGCCGCCATTTTTAAATGCCCCATAGTTCAAACTACCTGCCCGTGGCTACACGCAGCATGGACTAGATAGTTCAAATTAAAGCTCCTAATTCGAACTACCGTTATTCTTCCTGCAAGGAGGTTTAACGGTAGTTTGAATTAGGAGCTTTAGTTCGCAAATAAGCCCAGAATATTTAAATCCCGGGCTTCCTTTGCAAATTAGAATGCCTACATTAGCCACTCTAGTTCGAACTAGGATAGCAGTGTAGACATACCCTCAGAGTATAAACAGGAAGATCACCAACTCTTCATTTTTTTCCTTCTGATAAGAAAGAACTGACTTTTGCCTGGCCTGCAGTTAGTCATCTGATACCCTTTGAGGGGTTGGGTTTAGAACGCATCCCTATGCCTGACATTTCCTAATAACTAACTCAGGTGATCCCCATTCAGCTGGCTGCTGTTTGTGATCTAATTCTTAGTGCTTAACTTTCACCATGTATTTGCAGGAGACTCTCGGGCCTGTGGATTCAGAGGGTATGTCTACACTACAAAGTTAATTCGAACTAACAGACGTTAGTTCGAATTAACTTTAATAGGTGCTACACTAGCGCTCCGCTAGTTCGAATTTAAATCGAACTAGCGGAGCGCTTAGATCGAACTAGGAACACCTCATTTTACGAGGATTAAGCCTAGTTCGAACTAGCTACTTCAAATTAAGGGGTGTGTATCCCCTTAATTTGAACTAGTGGGAGGCTAGCCCTCCCCAGGTTTCCCTGGTGGCCACTCTGGCAAACACCAGGGAAAC